CTGTACCCTTCAACACCTCCAACACTGTACACTCAGCACCTACAACACTGTACCCTTCAACACCTCCAACACTGTACCACTCACACCCTTCAACACCTCCACATGTACCTCAGCACCTCCAACTTTTCTGTGCCCTTCAACACCTCCAACACTGGTACCCTTCAGCACCTCAACACTGTACCCTTCAGCACCTCCAACTCAGCACCTCAACACTGTACCTCTCAGCACCTCCAACACTGTACCTTCAGCCCTCCAACACTGTACCACTCAGCACCTCCAACACTGTACCCCTTCAACACCTCCAACACTGTACCACTCAACACCTCCAACACTGTGCCCTTCAGCACCTCCAACACTGTGCCAGCACCTCCAACACTGTACCTCCAGCACTCCAACACCAACACCTTACACACCACTCAACACTGTCCACTCCAACACTCCAACACTGTGCCCTTCAACCCAACACTCCCTCAACACCTCCAACACTGTACCCCAACACCTCCAACACCAACACAACTTCCCTCAGCACCTCCAACACTGTACCCCAGCACCTCCAACACTGCACCCTGCCCTCAACACCTCCAACACTGTACCACCAGCACTTACCAACACCTGTACCCTTCAACACCTCCAACACTGTACCCTTCCAACACCCAACACTCACCCTTCAACACCTCCAACACCGTACCCTTCAACACCTCAACACTGTACCCTTCAACACCTCCAACACTGTCCCTTCACCTCAACACTGTGCCCTTCAACACCTCCAACACACCACCCAGCACCTCCAACACACCACTTCAACACCTCCAACACTGTACCACTCAACACCTCCAACACTGTACCCTTCAACACCTCCAACACTGTACCCTTCAGCACCTCCAACACTGTACCCTTCAGCACCTCCAACACTGTACCTCTCAGCACCTCCAACACTGTACCCTTCAACACCTCCAACACTGTACCTCTCAGCTATAACACTGTACCACTCAACACCTCCAACACTGTGCCCTTCAGCACCTCCAACACCCGTACTACTCAGCACCTCCAACACTGTACCACTCAGCACCTCCAACACTGTACCACTCAACACCTCCAACACTGTACCACTCAGCTATAACACTGTACCACTCAACACCTCCAACACTGTACTACTCAGCACCTCCAACACTGTACTACTCAGCACCTCCAACACTGTACCACTCAGCACCTCCAACACTGTACTCAGCCTTATAATAGTTCACACAACTCACAGCTGCTGTTATTTTCTCCTTAAGTTTAAAGGTCTCGTCTCTGTTAAGTAAATTATATGATGTCAAGCAGAGCCCCCTAGTGCAGTCGTTCTCAACCTCACTCTCCCCACCAACCCCCTCCCTCCTAAGCGACTCCCAAAATCCTCATGGTCCCCCTTCAGTTTTCTCTTAACCCCACCCACAAATAATGATAAAATATAACAGTTTTGATCGGGATGAAGACATTATACCCTACTTTTATTATTTATTGTTAACAAATATCATTATCATATTTTTTTCGACAAAATTACATAACTTACATAATCGACTCGTCACTGGACTCGAGTGACTAGACTAGCCTCACAACAAACTTGAATTTGGTTGGAAAAAAGTTCCTATGATCTGTGCATATTTTGTCCCAGTTCAATGAGAAGGTTGACATTGTTTCAGTCGGGTGATTGATTCAAGGTTTCATCACTGACAAAGCACATCTATTGTCCGGGTCCACATGTAATCGGTTCCGGCTTTTACTTTTTATATGTAAAAGGTGAAGAAACCAAACTCGCATAACTAGGTAGTAGAAAATGGCAAGAGGTCTCGAAGTGCTATCTTGCTAACTTTTGGATACGACTGATACATTGAGCACCAGAATACAGTCTGCGATTTTTCTTCAGAGGTCTTTGGCAGCAGAATCGTTCTTGAGATCAGGAATTCGTCCTGAACATCATTGGGAATGGTAGCAATATCAAGAGTGCCAGAAAAAGGATTTCTCACCAATTTCCTTTCTTCCTCCTCGAATTCTGGGAAGGACCTTTAGAGCTCGCTTTCCAAGGATTTCAGGTGCTGAGTGATTTCACTTTTGGGTCAAGTAGATGATCTTCTTCAATCTCGTCAAGAACAGTTGAAAGATTCTCAAACATGACAGCATTTCCTGCACTGATTTTCCTTTGCCAATTCTGGAGCTTGGCAAGAAATGCACGAAGACATCCATGAGGTGAAACCTATTTCTTTCCTTGTCTTGTAACTTGGGATTCAGCCTGTTTAACTGCTCAAATATAACTGATAGGTATGCAAGACGTGACTCCGACAACACCTCACTGAAGTGACTTAAGAGATCATCCTTCCCTTGCACTTCCAGGAATAACTTAAGTTCTCCCCGAAGTTCAAACACTTGATTCACGACGTTATCCTTGGAAAGCCAGCGCTCTTTCTAGTAAAAGAGGAGAGCTTCGTGCTCTGAATCCATGTCTCTACAAAAGTTCTGGTAAAAGCGAGAGTTCAGATCTCCAGCTTTCATAAATGTGACACATTTGATCATGGCCTCCAGGATCTTGCAAAGTGCATCAGGAAGGGTTTTCGACGCCAGTGCAAACCGATGGATCATACATCAAACCCCTTGGCATTCGGAGCTACTTCCTTGACACGCTTCTGGAACCCCGATTTCGATCCTATCATCGCCGGAGTCCCAATTTTCCCAGGTGATCCCGCTAGCTATGAAGAAAGAAGACCGCCTTTCCGTCACATCTACAGCTCTTGTGATGATCTCCTACTGTGTACAAAACAGATTATTTATCCTTGATGTCGCACGAGAAAACATACCGAATAAACACAAGCTGCTGTACACAAGAACTAACGTCCGTGTGAACAGACCAGTTGGAGACGATTTTATCTCCTGCATCACTTGTTCCTTTATGTCATCCGTTATTTTACTAATTCACCGTGTTGTTTGACGAGGAAATTTGCTGCATCTCCAAGAACCCGCTTGACCATCTTTAAAGTTCACGGCTTAATTAAAGTCTTACCAATTATGTGGGCCTTCTGCTTTACTATTCCGAGGGTAACCTCATATGATGCATCAACTACACTCAAGGACTGTTGTTGGAAAGCATCACTCTCATCCAGTTTCTGTTTTCCCAAACTTCGTTCATGGCGCTTGAAGAAATTCCGCACATTTTCTTGAAACATTACAAGTTATAACGCCCCACTATGACCCCCAGGTTGAGAACCACTGCCCTAAGACCTCACGGGGCCCACCGCCAGTTCTGTGGGGTGAGGGCCCAATGGTTCCTTTCCCTAAGCCCAAACATAACATACGTACTGTACAGCCAGTCTCCGCTTGGTAAAAGAGTGGGGTCCGGGGTAAATTAGATATCCCCATCCCCCATCTCCCTCCCCACACCCCTCTCCACCCCCTCCCCACACCCCTCTCCTCTCCCCACACCCTTCCCCACACCCCTCTCCACCCAACACCCCTCTCCACCCCCTCGTGATGGTAAGTATACAGTACCAAGGTTTATTAACGTAGAGTTTGATAATAGTTAATTAATCTCATTTTAACGTTCGTAATATATAAAATATACCGAGATATAAATGTGTTTGTTTGTTGTCCTTAAAAACTGGCAGAACTTAATTTGGGAAATATGATTCTTCTTCTTCCTGTTGTTATCATTATCATTATTATTATTATTATTACTATTATTATTATTATTATTATTATTATTATTATACAAAATCTAAGTCAATCACAAACTACTAAATTCTAGAGAGAGAAATTTCTACCACATAACCAAAACATTATACATCAGTATTTACAAGAACAACCTCACAACCCAGACGCATATAATTACACACTAATAACTCAGGTGACTTCACTGTAAATACAATCATCAGATATTATATATAAAGTTAATACAGATAAGGGATGAGGGCCGAAGATTTCCTGAATCAAATATCAATTACACTTTGCCTAAAATATTCACAACACAACGAAACAGAAGATAATATTTTTCTCATTAATAATTTGTACAAAAATAAAAATAGTGCATTAAAATGTAAATTAACATTTTATACATATTTTCCTGCTGAATGGGATGGCAAACTACAGTGGGACTAGGGGCAGCCGCCGCCCACCTCCTGGACTTGATAACCATTCCTACAGCAAATTAACATTGACAGGCCACGTGACCACTTACAGCACAGTAACTTCTGGCTGCCAAGTGCTGACGCCATGTTGATGTGTGACAGCTTCAGATGGCAGTGAGTTACAGTCATTGTTGACATGATCCACTACTATGGGAGGTACGGTACTCCTGAGTTACCACTGAGGTCCATGGTACACACGGAGTATCTCCATGGTACACACGGAGCTTATCTATGGTATACACGGAGCTTCTCCATGGTACACACGGAGCTTATCTATGGTATACACGGAGCTTCTCCATGGTACACACGAGATCTTCTCCATGGTACACACGGAGCTTCTCCATGGTACACATGGAGCTTCTCTATGGTACACATGGAGCTTCTCCATGGTACACACGGAGCTTCTCCATGGTACACACGGAGCTTCTCCATGGTACACACGAGACCTTCTCCATGGTACACACGGAGCTTCTCTATGGTACACATGGAGTTTCTCCATGGTACACACGGAGCTTCTCTATGGTACATGGTACACACAGTTTCTCCATGGTACACACGAGACCTTCTCCATGGTCTCCACACGGAGCCCATGGTACACACGGACACGGAGACCTTTCCATGGTACACACCTTCTATGGTACACATGGAGTTTCCATGGCACACACGGAGCTTTTCATGGTACACATGGATGGTACACACGGAGCTCTCCATGGTACACACGGAGCTTCTCCATGGTACACGAGACCTCTCCATGGTCCTATGGTACACACATGGAGCTTCTCCATGGTACACACGGAGCTTCTTCTATGGTACACATGGAGATGGTACACACGAGACCTTCTCCATGGTACACACGGAGCTTCTCTATGGTACACATGGAGCTTCTCCATGGTACACACGGAGCTTCTTCATGGTACACACGGAGCTTCTCTATGGTACACATGGAGCTTCTTCATGGTACACACGGAGCTTCTCTATGGTACACATGGAGCTTCTCCATGGTACACACGGAGCTTCTTCATGGTACACACGGAGCTTCTCCATGGTACACACGGAGCTTCTTCGTGGTACACACGGAGCTTCTAAGTGACACACCTCAACTTTTATACATGTCACACAAGATCTTCTCCATGGGCGTGTTACCGATGGTGGCGGTGAAGAAGAGAGCTTGTACCCTGGGGGGTGGGGGTGACCTGAGGGAGGCGAGGAGCAGTAGAAGGCGACCGAATCTGGCAGGTCGAGCAGGGTAGTGGGCCCTCACGTGCTGACTCAGCATAACCTGTGCCTGGTCCTGCAGTGATTCCACCTGTGCTGAGTCCTTCAGTCCACGAACTGGTGGTGTGAGAGGAGCTTTACTGTGTGTCAAGTGTGTCTACTGTGTGTCAAGTGTGTGTCAAGTGTGTGTACTGTGTGTCAAGTGTGTGTACTGTGTGTCAAGTGTGTCTACTGTGTGTCAAGTGTGTCTACTGTGTGTCAAGTATATTACATTATAATAAATACTAATACTATTAATATTATAAGAATATATATTATTATGTAACATGTGCGTACAGTTGTGGGCAAAAGATTTCTGCAACATGGCAGGCAGGGGTGTATGGGTGGGCTGGGGATGGTGGAGACATGGCAGGCAGGGGTGTATGGGTGGGTTGGGGATGGTGGAGACTTGGAGGGGATGGGTGGGCTGGGATGGGTGGGAGACATGGCAGGCAGGGGTGTATGGGTGGGCTGGGGATGGTGGGAGACTTGCAGGCAGGGGTATGGGGGGCTGGGGATGGTGGAGACATGGCAGGCAGGTGTATGGGTGGGCTGGGGATGGTGGAGACTTGGCAGGCAGGGGTGTGTGGGTGGGCTGGGGATGGTGGAGACATGGCAGGCAGGGGTGTATGGGTGGGCTGGGGACGGTGGAGACTTGGCACCGTCACACAGAGGTGGTGATTAAAAGTCTGTGATTTTCTGTCCACACAACAATTTTTTTTTTATAGTTTAACCCTGAGGCAGACGTAGTTTACACTCCCTCCATGCTGAATTCTTTTGTCCACAACTATACACACTGTGGTACCCCCTACTTGCTGAAGCGGATATGGTTTAAACACACTGTAGTGTCATGGTTCAACTTCCTTCCGTCTGCTGATAACAACCAGTGCCCTGATCACGCCACGTAAGCCAAGACGCACATTGAGACACTGACGGCGTATTGGGGGCCAGTGCAGTTTTTGTGTCTAGTTATTTCAAGCGAGAGACCTCACATCAGGACGCAGAGAGCAGGCGCAGGGCTGTGTCGAGCTGTGCAGCGTAGTAGTTGAAACGTAATTGCTCGACACGTGGACATGTCATATGTTTCAAGGCTTAAAATTATCGATTTTGATATGGCAGAGGAACTTACAGAGGCTGTTTGGAGTCAAAGGTTCTCTATGAAACTCGACATCCTGACCACATGAAAACCAACCTGTAAGATGACTTCTGGGATCTCTCAAGCTAAATGAGACTGAGTGAGCTGTAAAATATTGCTAACTGGAGCAACCATTTAAGAACAGACTAATATGGAACACGAGAGTGATTCATTTCAGCATTTTGTATATGACTTAGACTACACAGCAAGACAGACTGCTGGACAATGAACTGTGGTGACCTGCTCTCTGTCTAACCTGCTCTGTGTCTATCCTGCTCTGTGTCTATCCTGCTCTGTGTCTATCCTGCTCTGTGTTGACCTGCTCTGTGTTGACCTGCTCTGTGTTGACCTGCTCTGTGTCTACCCTGCTCTGTGTCTCTATTCAGCTCTATGTGCGCCAAGCCTTAGATTGAGGCTTAAGTGTTAACAACCCTTACTTAAACGACGGATTAATTTGGACTGGTGGTGGTGGGTGTCCCAGTCGTCACCCTGTATAACAAGTTTCCAGAAGAGGTTCCTCAGCCTCACCAGATCGCTCGGACAGATATACAAACTGTACAGTACAACATAGCTATCTATATTACTACGTGGTCCATGATCCAACAACAACAATAATGATAAAGACAATAATAATAATAATAATAATAATAATAATAATAATAATAATTTTAGTAATAATATAAATAATAATAATAATAATAATAATAAAAATATTAATTATGGTAATTTATATAAATAATAATAATAATTATAGTAATAATATAAATAATAATAATAATGATAAAAATATTAATTATAGTAATAATATAAATAATAATAATAATAATAATAATAATTCTAGTAATAATATAAATAATAATAATAATGATAAAAATATTAATTATAGTAATAATATAAATAATAATAATTCTAGTAATAATATAAATAATAATAATAATGATAAAAATATTAATTATAGTAATAATATAAATAATAATAATAATAATAATTTTAGTAATAATATAAATGATAATAAAACAATAATAACAATAATAATTATAATGATAATAAAAATAATAATACACACACAATAATAATAATACACAATAATAATAATAAAAATAATGATAAAAAATAATATCAATAATAATATAAATAATACTAAAACAATAATAATAACAATAGTTATAATAAAAATAATAACTATAATTTTAGTAATAATAAAAATTATACAATAAATGATGATAAAATTAATAATTTTAGTAATACAATAATAATAATAATAATAATAATAATAATTATAATTTTAGTATTAATAATAATAATAATTATAATAATAATAATAATTATAATTTTATAATAATAATAATAATAATAATAATAATAATAATTATAATTTTAGTATTAATAATAATAATAATTATAATTTTAGTATTAATAATAATTATAATTTTAGTATTAATAATAATAATAATAATAATTATAATTTTAGTATTAATAACAATAATACTAATTTTAGTATTAATAATAATAATAATAATAATTATAATTTTATATTAATAATAATAATTATAATTTTAGTATTAATAATAATAATTATAATTTTAGTATTAATAATAATTATAATTTTAGTATTAATAATAATAATAATACACAATTATAATTTTAGTATTAATAATAATAATAATAATTATAATTTTAGTATTAATAATACACACACACACAATTATAATTTTAGTATTAATAATAATAATAATAATAATTATAATTTTAGTATTAATAATACTAATAATACTAATAATAATAATAATAATTATAATAATTATAATTTTACTACTAATAATAATAATTATAATAATTATAATTTTACTACTAATAATAATAAAATAATAATTATAATTTTACTACTACTAATAATAACAATAATAATGATAAAATTAATCATTTTAATAATAATTTTAGTAATAATAATAATAAAAATAATAATAAAATTAATATTATAATTTTAGTAATAATAATAATAATGACAATAGTGATAAAATTAATAATTTTAATAATAATAATTTTCGTAATAATTTATATAATAATAATGAAAAAATGAATAATAATAATAATGATAACGATAATAATAATAATATTAATGATAACGATAATAATAATGATGATGATGATAATGATGATGATGATGATGACGATAATAATAATAATAATAATAATATACCTCCTACTCACCTGGCCTGAACAAAACAATTGCCTTCAGGTAAGCGAATTCAGCAGGGTCGACAGCCAAATCTCTGAATGATCCAGCCACTTCAGATAACTGACGGATATCATGGGCTGCCTGGGCTGCCTTGTGGGCGTGGGCGAGGGTGTGGGCGTGGGCGGAGGGCGAGAGGAGTGGACAGGTGGGCAGAGGGAGCGACCATTGCACGGCGTTCAACACAAACAATTCTGACCATACCTCCTCCAACAGCACCACCTAGAATAGTGTGTGTGTGAAGACTGTAGCAGTAGTAGTACTTCTGGTTACTGTAGTAGTAATATACAGTATATAACATGTTCTTCAGGTGATGCAATGGTTCTTTACTAGAGGGAGGTATGAGGAGCCTCTATATCCCATAGTTCATTCACACCTTTTGCTGCTCCCTTTAATTAGTGATGGGAAAAGGTTACTCTGGCGTTCCTGTTGGATCATCGTCACCTAAAGGTCCAACCATATTGACTCCCTTGCGGGCAGTGTGCCACCGAGAGCTAACATGTACTGTCTGAACAAAACAGTCTTGGACATTAAACACAACTACAACAACATTAGGAATTAACAAGTACAAACTCAAAATGAGAACATGAAATGCGAAGACATTATAATGAGGCTGGTAAATATGGAAATGTTTGTAGAGAAATGAAAAGACTGTAGTGGGTCAGGTTTAAATAACATTACTGGTGAAGATTCTTACTTTATATATTCAGGCGGTGAAAGGTATGAGGGAGGTGTTGATATTGTTGTACACCATCAGTAGTGTAAAGGAATATTGGACAGTGTTAGAGTTTTGTAGTTAAGTTTAGCGCTAAACCCATAGACTTGGTATTAATACAGGTTTATACACCAACAAAGTGAGGATGACGCCTTAAAAAAATACCCTGTGAAGATTTAAAGAAAGCAAAAGACACCGTAAAGTTTAATGAATGACTGATTATAATGGTTGATGTTAACGTAAAGGTTAGGAAAGTGAAAGTAGCACCAGAAGTAGGACCACATGGGCTGGTTAATATAAATAATAGAAGAGAAATATTAATTGACTTTTGTAAAGAAAATATGATGATAATTACAAATACATGGTTTAAACAACACGCTATAGGCATCTCTATACTGTACATGAGTCTCACCCCAGGACAATGTAATCAACAGAGTCAGGAATAAAATAGATGTTTTAATTCAGGAAAGATTCAGAAATTCAATAACTTGCACCAAGACCTATCCAGGGACAGATTGTGGGTCAGACCACCTCCCAGTAATGAGTTTAGTGAGATTAAAGCCTTAAAAATTATAAATAAAAACTGTGGACAAATTAAAACGGGATTCAGGTAAACTCCAAAGAGGTGCAGGGATAGAATACGAATCTGAATCCAAATATAGATTTTCAGTATTGCTAGAAGGTGACTTAGATGAAGAAGGAACAGGACAACAATTTAATAATAACAAAGAAGTAATGTTAGAGACTGTGGAAAACTTATAGGAGGAACGAGGCTAAAAGTGAGTGGATGACAAATGAAAATTGAAAGAAAATGGGCAGACGAAGAAATATGAGAAGTTGTAGTGAGGTTTATAAAAAAAAAAACTAAGAAACTAAAAAGGAATGTTGACAGACCAAAGAAGATGATGATGGAAAGAGTTAGAAGATGACGGGTGGCATAATTATATGGAAATGTAAAGAAAGATTAAACAAATGAAACAGAAAAAGGAAACAAATGAGGTGGGACTATTAAACACAAATACAATAAGTTCTTGTTTGAGGCAGATGATGAGCAGCGTACAGAGAAGAACTATGCAAAGATAAGGATCAAAATTCAGAACGCTGGTTTGAAACTGCAAGAAGATTTAATCGAAGGATCGAGCAAAGAATGAAGATTGTTGGGATTCAGATCGCTGGCTTGAGCCAACAAAAAGATTCAAACCGGTTTGAGATCAAATCTGTCGATCCTCGCGTTTCGGGGTCGATCCGTCATTCAAGATAGCAAGTCAACATGAATTTTTACAAAGCGCTTTTCGGCGATATAAATTGGAAATTTTGTAGAGAAAAGACTGATGGTAGATAGGCAGAATTCTATCAATTTTTATAATGACATACAATTCAGACAACGATTTAGGTTCAGCAAGAGAGATTTCCTTGATATTTTCCGTGATATGGAGCATCTACTTGACAGACCTGTTGGCTATGGTTCACCTCTACCTCCCATTCATCAGCAGATGATTGCTCTGAGATTCTTCGCAACGAATAGTTTCCAGGTAAGAAATATTCTGGTTATTGAAGGAGTTATGGTGATGTGTTGTAGCACTTAAGTGTTTAAGGTCCATGAAGATCAAGAGGGTAAATGTACAGAACGCTGACACTTCTTTATTTTGAGGGTTTTACTTCAGGAAAACTATTTTGATGTATTTTCAATATAATTGAATCAATGCTGAGTGTATTTTTATTTTAAGGTAGTAATATAGGAAATTCTTTTCTTAACATTACTAATCAGGGGAAATGTGGGGTTAAAAGAACAGAAAGAAACCTAACCTAACCGAACCTATAGCCAGGATACTACGCCCCGCATTGATACATCTTGCTTTGGTCGTAATGGCGTTAATGAAACGTGATTGACTGGAATTTCAGTGTTCAAATCCTTGCTCGTAATTGAAGAAAATGCAACGGATTACCCGATCCGGGGTTCAAGCCGATGTTCTGAATATGGGTAATCCACTGCAGGAAATACCGGATCGAGGAATCCTAATTCACACGCATGAACCGAGCTCAAATCCCAGGCTCAAACCACCGTTCTGAATTCGGGCCGCTTGCCATCCTATTAACCGTTCGAGTGATTAGTCTGGTCTTTGTTGCCATGTTTGATAGTGCGGGTCACAGTGGATGATACCCTTCTACCGTATGTGTCGGTCCAAGACTCGAACCCAAGACAATTGAAACTTAAACTTGTACAGTTGTGGACAAAAAGAATTCGGCAGACAGGCAGGGAGGGAGGGAGGGGTAGGTGGAGACTTGGCACCGTTACATAGAGTTAGCGATTAAAACTTTGCGATTTTCTTTCCACACCATACTGCCGAGTTCTTCTTGTCCTTAACAGCACACCCGATAGCTTAAGCCTGTTATGCATCTGAGGATGTCTGTCTGTCTGTCTCTCTGTCTGTCAGGACTCACTACCAACGCACCTGGTCACGGAATGGTAGACTGCTAAAGGAAGGTAGGTTTTTGGCCCACTTCACTGCCATGAATAGTAGTCTGGCCGCCGTCTCCTGTACAGACTCCTGCAGGGGATCCCACAGCGGCGCCGCCTCCATGTACGACGCTCCTGACGACGAGGACGACGAACACGATGACACCGGAGGCATATGAGGGCCCATAGGTCCTACAGTGTCCTCGCTTCCACCCCCCAGAACATCTACTGGTGAATCGACACTCCTTATTCCTGCTGGGGGAGAGAGATGTGTTAGTAGTGTGGCTGGGGTGTGTCAGTAGTGTGGCTGGGGTGTGTGTGTGGGTTGGGGTGTGGTCTGTGTGGCTGGGGTGTGTCAGTTGTGTGGCTGGGGTGTCAGTAGTGTGGTGGGGTGTGGTCAGTAGTGCGGCTGGGGTGTGGTCAGTACTGTGTGGCAGTGTGTGGCTGGGGTGTGTGGTCAGTAGTGTGGTTGGGTGTGGTCAGTGTGTGGCTGGGGTGTGGTCAGTGGTGTGGCTGGGGTGTGGTTAGCACTGTGGCTGGGGTGTGGTCAGTAGTGTGGTTGGGGTGTGGTCAGTAGTGTGGTTGGGGTGTGGTCAGTAGTGTGGCTGGGGTGTGGTCAGTAGTGTGGCTGGGGTGTGGTCAGTGTGTGGCTGGGTGTGGTCACTGTGGCTGGGGTGTGGTCAGTAGTGTGGCTGGGTGTGGGTGGTGTGTGGTCAGTGTGTGGTGTGGTAGTGTGGCTGGGGTGTGTCAGTAGTGTGGCTGGGGTGTGTCAGTAGTGTGGTTGGGGTGTGGTCAGTAGTGTGGTTGGGGTGTGGTCAGTACTGTGGCTTGTGGTCAGTAGTAGTGTGGCTGGGGTGTGGTCAGTAGTGTGCTGGCTGGGTGTGGTAGTGGCTGGGGTGTGGTCAGTAGTGTGGCTGGGGTGTGGTCAGTAGTCAGTAGTGTGGCTGGGGTGTGGTCAGTAGTGTGGCTGGGGTGTGGTCAGTGTGTGGCTGGCTGGTAGTAAGTGTGTGCTGGGGTGTGGTAGTGTGGCTGGGGTGTGGTCAGTACACAGTGTGGCTGGGGTGTGGTCAGTAGTGTGGCTGGGGTGTGGTCAATACTGTGGCTGGGTGTGTCACTGGGGTGTGGTCAGTAGTGGCTGGGCGGTCAACTGTCAACAAGAAATCTCAACAAGTTGTGTGACAAAATTATACTAAGATTATCTCTGTGACCACTATGGTCCAGGTGACTCACTGTTGGTCCAGGTGACTCACTGTGGTCCAGGTGACTCACTATGGTCCATGTGACTCACTATGGTCCAGGTGACTCACTGTGGTCCAGGTGACTCACTATGGTCCAGGTGACTCACTGTGGTCCAGGTGACTCACTGTGGTCCAGGTGACTCACTGTGGTCCAGGTGACTCACTGTGGTCATATTGACTCACATTGGTCCCTGTAACTCACCATGGTCAATGTGACTCATCATGGTTCCTGTGACTCATCATGGTTCCTGTGACTCATCATGGTCCCTGTGACTCACTATGGTTCCTGTGACTCATCATGGTCCCTGTGACTCATCATGGTCCCTGTAACTCCCCATGGTCCCTGTGACTCATCATGGTTCCTGTGACTCACCATGGTCCCTGTGACTCCCCATGGTCCCTGTGACTCATCATGGTTCCTGTGACTCACCATGGTCCCTGTGACTCCCCATTGTCCCTGTGACTCCCCATGGTCCCTGTGACTCCCCATAGTCCCTGTGACTCACTATGGTTCCTGTGACTCATCATGGTCTTATTAACTCACCATGGTTCTCACTTGACTCATCATGGTTCCTGTGACTCATCATAGTCCCTGTGACTCCCCCATGGTCCCTGCGACTCACTATGGTTCCTGTGACTCACCATGGTCTTGTTAACTCACCATGGTTCCTGTGACTCATCATGGTCCCTGCTGACTCCCCCATGGTCCCTGTGACTCACTATGGTTCCTGTGACTCATCATAGTTCCTGTGACTCACCCTTAGGTCTTATTAACTCACCATGGTTCCTGTGACTCATCATAGTCCCTGTGACTTTCCCCATGGTCCCTGTGACTCACTATGGTTCCTGCTTGACTCATCATAGTTCCTGCTTGACTCACCATAGTCTTATTAACTCCCATGGTTCCTGTGACTCATCATGGTCCCTGTGACTCCCCATGGTCCCTGTGACTCACTATGGTTCCTGTGACTCATCATGGTCCCTATGTGACTCACCATGGTCTTGTCGCTTTCCACCATGGTTCCTGTGACTCCCATGGTCCCTGTGACTCCCCATGGTCCCTGTGACTCCCTGGTCCCTGTGACTCCCCATGGTCCCTGTGACTCACTATGGTTCCTGTGACTCACCATGGTCTTATTAACTCACCATGGTTCCTGTGACTCATCATGGTCCCTGTGACTCCCCATGGTCCCTGTGACTCCCCATGGTCCCTGTGACTCATCATGGTCCCTGTGACTCCCCATGGTCCCTGTGACTCCCCATGGTCCCTGTGACTCACTATGGTTCCTGTGACTCACCATGGCCTTATTAACTCCCCATGGTTCCTGTGACTCATCATGGTTCCTGTGACTCATCATGGTCCCTGTGACTCATCATGGTTCCTGTGACTCCCCATGGTTCCTGTGACTCACCATGGTTCCTGTGACTCATCATGGTTCCTGTGACTCATCATAGTTCCTGTGACTCACCATGGTCGTGGTCGTCCTTGGCTGGTGAGTGCGGATGGTGGCTCATCATGGCAGACAGACCACCGCTCATATGGTTAATGGTAGCCGGGTTATTGTTGTTGTTGTTGTTGGTGTTATTGTTGTTGTTTGTGGTGCTGGTTGGAGCGGAGGATGACGATGTTGGCGCTGGCGTGGAGATGAGGGCGTGGTGGACATTGGAGGTGGTGAAGGGGGAGGTGGTGGTAACGGAGGGCGGTGCTAAGAAACCCCGTGACGCTCCCATGGCGGCCGTCATTAAACCAGGTAGTGGGAGAGGCGGCCTATTGGGAGTAGGCCTAGATATTATTATTACTATTATTATTATTATTATTATTATTATTATTATTATTATTATTATTATTATTATTACACTGCCAAGTGAACTACAGAAACTAGTAAAGTACCCAATTACACTCTATTCTACTTGATTAGAGTACACATACTACACTGCATTACACTAGTGCATTACACACAGTACAGTACAAACAATACAGCACTACTATTACAGGTCAGTATGCTAGTACACTATGCCTAGTACAGTTCAATTAATACACTTAACTTACTCTAGCACAATTAATAGTAATGTATTCTAGTACACCAGAACTAAATCAGTAAACTAAAGCCTAATAAGTCACCAGGTTCCGACGAGATATTTGCCAGAGTATTAAAGGAATGGAAGGAAAAATTTAGTATGCCCTTAGCAAAGTCGTTTAACATGTCCTTAAAAACGGGTGTAGTACCAGAATCCTGGAGGATAGCAAATGTAATACCTATTTTAAAGAAGGGAGATAGATCACTATCCTCTAACTATCGTCCAATTAGTTTAACATTAATTGTAGGCAAATTTCTGGAAGTAATAATTTCAAACTCAATTCGAAATCACCTGGAGAAGCACAAGTTGATTAATGATTCCCAACATGGCCAACAAGTAGGCGTTCATGTCTGACAAATTTATTAACACTCTTTTCATCTGTTTTCGAATCAGTCTATTACGGACACGATTATGATGTGGTATACATCGACTTTAAGGAAGCCTTCGACAGGGTCCCCACGAAAGACTAATACGTAAATGGAGGCTCATGGATTTGGAGATGTTCTAAACTGGATTAGGGCGTGGTTACAGGACAAGAAACTGCGAGTAAGCATTAACGACACCAAATCCGACTAGGGTATTAGGGGTAATAATGGAATACCCCAGGGCTCAATACTTGGACCATTATTATTTATTTATACATAAACGACATACCCTGTAGATAAAGGTGTAGACAGCAACATAATAAGATTGCTGGCGACACTATAATATGGCGTGAAATTAAATCTGACGAGGACTATGCAAAACTACAGGAAGATCTAAACAAATTTTTCGCATGGTCTGAAAAATGGCAGATGGAATTTAATGTGCAGAAATATAAAGTACATAGCTTAGGATATGAAAAGCAGAGAAACCAGATAACAGATGAATAACGCTGTTATAGAGAAATCCAACTGTGAGAAAGATTTATGAGTAATGATAAGTAGGAATCTAAATCTAAGACAACAATATGTATTTGCTCAAAACAAGGTTAACAAAGTACTTGGGTTCATACAAAGGAGTGTTAGTTACAAGACTACTGAGGTTATCTTGCGCTTGTTAGATCTCACTTGGATTATGCAGTTCAGTTCTGGTCACCGTACTACAGAATGGATAAAGAATCCCTAGAAAGAATTCAGAGGATGATGACAAGACTAATCCCGGGCATTAGGAACCTTAAATACAGAGACAGGTTAAAACATCTTAATTTGTACTCCCTCGAGAAACGTAGAGTGAGGGGCGATATGATAGAGGCGTATAAATGGAAGTCAGGGCTAAACAAAGGTGATATAACAAAGGTACTCAAACTATCCAACCAGGAGTGAACTCGTAGCAATGGATTTATACGAGACAAATTCAAATTTAGGCGCGAAATAGGTAAACATTGGTTTGGAAATAAAGTAGTGGATGAGTGGAACAAGTTACCGAACATCATCATTAACTCAAGCACCCTGGATAGCTTCAAACACAGGTTGGACGGATATATGAGCGATAGCGGTTGGGTGTAAACGGTGGCTGCCCGCTGTAGTTTCTTCCATTCTTATTTTTATCGTCATATTCGTCACTTATCAGCTTTCCAGTGTAAGTACAGAAGTAACCGGGGACCGGGAAACCTGTGGTGTTTGGCAGTGAGGGCTACAACACCCTTCTCACGTGTCTGGGCCGAAGCTCAAACCCTTGACATATTGGTGAGAGTTATGCTCGTTACCGCTGTACCTAATATATTAAACAGGCGTTAAAAGCAATTGTACAGTGCAGTGTACTACACCTAGAATAGTACACTACATTACAGTGCACTACAATAAACTACACTGGTACTGCCAAAGTACCATACTACATTATACTCAGTACAGCACACTACAGTACTTTACATAGTTCGATGCACTACAGAACACTACAGTACATCCAAAGTACCATACTACATTATACTCAGTACAGCACACTACAGTACTTTACATAGTTCGATGCACTACAGAACACTACAGTACATAACACTGCAGTACAGTACAGTACACAACACTACAGTACACTACAGTACACAACACTACAGTACACTACAGTACACAACACTACAGTGCACTACAGTACACAACACTACAGTACACATCACTACAGTACACTACAGTATACAATATTACACTACAGTACACTACAGTACAGTACAGTACACTACAGTACACATCACTACACCACACTACACTACAGTACACTCCAGTACAGTACACATCACTACAGTACAGTACACTACAGTACACATCACTACACTACACTACAGTACAGTACACTACAGTACAGTACAGTACACTACAGTACACAGTTTTACCCACGTGAACACCCCAACAGCAACAGCAGCCTCCCTCAGTAGTCTCTCTTGGTCCATGTCAGCGAAGGCTTCTGGTCTGATGGTGGCGGTGTTCCGTGGCTGTCTCTCGTTCTGTACGGCTGTGGCACCAATACCACCCACGGCCTCGTTAGTAACCACCCACACATTTGTTAGTAACTACCCACACATTTGTTAGTAACCACCTACACATTTGTTAGTAACCACCCACACATTTGTTAGTAACCACCTACACATTTGTTAGTAACTACCCACACATTTGTTAGTAACTACCCACACATTTGTTAGTAACCACCCACACATTTGTTAGTAACCACCCACACATTTGTTAGTAACCACCCACACATTTGTTAGTAACCACCCACACATTTGTTAGTAACCACCCACACATTTGTTAGTAACCACCCACACATTTGTTAGTAACCACCCACACATTTGTTAGTAACCACCCACACATTTGTTAGTAACCACCCACACATTTGTTAGTAACCACCCACACATTTGTTAGTAACCACCCACACATTTGTTAGTAACTACCCACGTCCTCGTTAGTAACTACCCACGTCCCCGTTAGTAACTACTGAGGAAAGTTAATTGTATAACTAATTTAACCATTATATTTAAGAAGGAAGTTTTCTTATGATTTAATATTATGTTAAAAGATAATGACCGACCTGCAGCATTATCATGACCGACCTGCAGCATTATCATGACCGACCTGCAGCATTATCATGACCGACCTGCAGCATTATCATGACCGACCTGCAGCATTATCATGACCGACCTGCAGCACCATCATGACCGACCTGCAGCATTATCATAACCGACCTGCAGCACCATCATGACCGACCTGCAGCACCATCATGACCGACCTGCAGCATCATCATGACCGACCTGCAGCATTATGTAAAACAGAGGAGGCGTTTTGGCGGTAACTTACCATCTTTATTCATTCCCATCTGTATACACTTCTTGAGGCGACACGCTTGACACTGATTCCTGTGAGCCTTGTCAACTACACATGCTCCCGTCCCTGCCTGGCACCTGCAGATAGATAGATAGATAGATAGTCATATATTAATTCATTTTATACATAGACAGTACATTTATACAAACAATGTACCTTCTACAGTACACTACACCATGAGTCTTACTACGCCATGGGAGTCTTGCTACACCATGAGAGTCTTACCTGTAGATTAGTTTACGTCTGACGGACCTCTTGAAGAAGCCTGAACAACCATTACACGCCAGTATCCCGTAGTGTTTGCCGGAAGAGGTGTCACCACACACTAAACACTGTAGGCCAGGAGACACTCGGCGCCCACCACCCAGACCGCCCATACCACCTGCAGCAAGAGGTTCACGTCACAACACTCCGCCCGCCCGCTACCTTGTAAACAATCTTATTAAACCACATAACTCAGGAGAAAAGCTTGAGTTTCTTCTTCTTTTATTATTTATTATTATTATTATTATTATTTAGTAGGTAAGGGTAAAACAAGATAGGTGTGGGTGTTACGTACCAACAGTGACGGTGGAGAGTGCAGGGCCGCCCATGGTCACGCCTATACCACTTGACGAGACACAGACAGCGCTGGCCAGGCTACTGGGACACCGCCCACCCAAGGGGGACAACCTTCCGCCCAGTACACTCGCGCCGCCCAGCTGTGGGGGGGGACACCTGTTACTACATCCTACTACAGGTACAGTCACCTCAAAAAGTCCGCGTCTCCTTCCCAACGAGTCAGTGTGGAAACTAAACTAAATACTGCAGCGTTGGCAGTGTTGGGATCCTGAACCACACACCTGTGAGTATCTCAAGGAACAAATGTCATTCTTAATACATATGAAAATTATGTCCTTGATCATTATGACAACACAAAAATATCAGTATATATACGTGAATCTGTATTATATAAAATAAATATGATGTAACAAATACAAAGGCGCTTATTTTTCTATTTAAAAGGCACAATAAAAGCTCTTTATACACGAGACACAACAAAACACGGACTGAATTACGTCTAAAAGCAGATGTGACCCAAGTGACATCTTATAGTCCACCACCAGCTAAATCTCTCCCAGCGGCGGGAATATAGAGAACTGTTTCACACTCTGTTTATACTAAAGGATTGGATCACTTGTATTAATGTGAATTGACACATTTTAGTGTGATGGTCTGACTCCCCACACACGAGTCACAGATGCGGGAGTTCGGCGAAGTGCAAACAGCTCGTCTTAAACGAGCGGTTACCCTAACTATAGCGTCCAAGTGATGCTGTCAACCTCGGAGTTGTGAGAGTTGCACAGGGAGGCCAAAATTGAGGACTGGGTAATGTGCTCGGTGGAGTTATGGTCTTCGGTTTGTGCAGTGTGTAAAGAACAGCTCCTACCATGACATCATCAATGAACAGCTCCTACCATGACACCATCAATGAACAGCACCTACCATGACACCATCAATGAACAGCTCCTACCATGACACCATCAATGAACAGCTCCTACCATGACACCATCAATGAACAGCACCTACCATGACACCATCAATGAACAGCTCCTACCATGACACCATCAATGAACAGCTCCTACCATGACACCATCAATGAACAGCTCCTACTATGACACCATCAATGAACAGCACCTACCATGACACCATCAATGAACAGCTCCTACCATGACACCATCAATGAACAGCTCCTACCATGACACCATCAATGAACAGCTCCTACCATGACACCATCAATGAACAGCACCTACCATGACACCATCAATGAACAGCACCTACCATGAAACCATCAATGAATAGCACCTACCATGAAACCATCAATGAACAGCAACCTACCATGACACCATCAATGAACAGCACCTACCATGACACCATCAATGAACAGCACCTACCATGACACCATCAATGAACAGCACCTACCATGAAACCATCAAAATGTCACCTTACCAAATGTGCTTTCTAAGGAAGAAAGTGATTACACGATAGGCACAAAAAGTGGAATAATTGTTCTCTCAACGGAGTATCTATCGAGGTGAAGGATTTAGAAAGTGCCATTGTTGAAGTAGCTGCCTAACAAAGCGGTGCTCTTGTTTGAAAGGCGGCCTTCGTTGCCACAGAGCATGTCATGGCCATTCAAGAACTTACATTGTTGCCATCTGTCGCCAATCACCCTTGAACATGTATAGCCAATCAGTGTTGCCGTCGGTGTCACGTGAAACTCCTGCGCATGATCAGGGCTTTGAATTTGGCTAGTGGGAATATGGCTTCTCACTGCACTGGTGTTATATCTGAACTTGGCAAACCATTCATCGTGCATTTGAAAAAGAAGCCGCTGCCATTGACATTTTTAAGGTTCATGGTATTCTGCCAATCTCTGTGAAGTGGACAAGCGTTCGTACGCAAAATGTAGAATGATAATAGTGGAAGGATACCCAGAATTAGTGCTTCGTGTCGGTAATAAGAAGGAACATTACCAACAATATTTGGCTCTGTACATGTTCCAAGCTGAATACAACGATCACCAGACTATACTCCGCCACGTCCCCCTACGAATAGCATCACTTTATCCTCTAGCATCAGTTAAGGTAAGTTTATTGCACATCGGGGGTCAGGTCAGCTCCTTCTGGTTTCTCTGGTTAGAAAGTTTGGTTAGGTTTCGTTTCGTCATTTTTGGTCTCACAATTTCCCTCTACTTCAAAGCCCTGCCTACTTGTGCCAACAACATTGCTGGGAATTGGGGGGGGGGTTGATATCTCCATAACGGCTTATTTGCGGCGGAAATGAAGGTCAGATTCTCCTGAAACAACACACACTATACAGGAAAACCATATTTTTTAGTAGTTCCGTGATCGAATCTTCACCGGTTCTTGTAGATATAAAGGGAAAGTGATTTTTACGATGTGAATTTTATAAAAATTCTCATTCACACAAATTACCCAGTTCAAGAACTAGGTAAGATTTCACAAACGTTTCTTAGTGAGACGAAGGAGCAAACTTTGTGTGTAAAATCAACAGTCAGATTTAACTACCGAAGTCCTTGTGGTGCCATGGTGGTGTCCCCGAGTTTCACTTGGAGGTCCTGGGTTCGACTCCTGACTAGTGAGGTATTATTTGTATACTGAGGTCCTCGTGCATTTGGACTTATTAGATACTGTATATAAATTTCTATAGTGTGTGTATGTTTTAACATGATAGTTTGCACACAACTGTAGCGGCTGAGGTTAATTTATGCTAGTACTGTAGACAGGTTTCGATTTTTCCACAACCAATACGTTTTCACATAGTTCAGACTATTCTAAGACATTTCTCTTCTATGTCATTTCCGTCGCAAATTTTTTTTTCGATGTTTTCATATATAAAATTACTTTTCTTTATTATATATAATATAATCTTGCTCTCACATTAGCGACTTGTGTATAAAGTCGTCAGGCGTTAATAACTGCACCTGTTGGGACACTCCCGGCAACTATGCGAGGCTCCGTGTTGTTTAACTCTTGCTCAGGGCTCACTCCAGGGTGCTCAGGGCTCACTCCAGGGTGCTCAGGGCTCACTCCAGGATGCTCAGGGCTCACTCCAGGGTGCTCAGGGCTCACTCCAGCGGTTGAGTGTCTAGGAGACGAACTTCTTGAGGTGACTGAACAAGAATTAGCAAATATAGTTATAGCTTTGTGGATATGGGCTGTGATGTTGGGTGTGGTGTGGGCGGATGGAGGAGGGTGTGGGTGTAATGATGGGTGTGGGTGTAATGTGGGTGGGTGGAGAAGGGTGGCCTTAGAATTATCATAGATGACTTACCTGGTGATGGTGGATGGACAGCGTGGGCGGAGGGAAATGGGTGGGGGTTATCATGGGCGTGGTGTGGGCAGGTGGGGGCGTGGTGGAGGGGGAGCGGGGAGGGGGAGAGCCTCCCACACTACTCCCACTACTGCTACATGACTCACGGGGCGACCTGGCCAAGTCCTCAGTTCCTGTGTGGGAGATCAAGAAAGGTTAGGTTAGGTTATAGTTGTGTATGGTTAGGTTAGGTTATAGTTGTGTATGGTTAAGTTAGGTTATAGTTGTGTATGGTTAAGTTAGGTTATAGTTGTGTATGGTTAGGTTAGGTTATAGTTGTGTATGGTTAGGTTAGGTTATAGTTGTGTATGGTTAGGTTAGGTTATAGTTGTGTATGGTTAGGTTAGGTTATAGTTGTGTATGGTTAGGTTAGGTTATAGTTGTGTGTGGTTAGGTTAGGTTATAGTTGTGTATGGTTAGGTTAGGTTATAGTTGTGTATGGTTAGGTTAGGTTATAGTTGTGTGTGGTTAGGTTAGGTTACAGTTGTGTATGGTTAGGTTAGGTTATAGTTGTGTATGGTTAAGTTAGGTTATAGTTGTGTATGGTTAAGTTAGGTTATAGTTGTGTATGGTTAAGTTAGGTTATAGTTGTGTATGGTTAGGTTAGGTTAAAGTTGTGTATGGTTAGGTTAGGTTATAGTTGTGTAGGGTTAGGTTAGGTTATAGTTGTGTATGGTTAGGTTAGGTTATAGTTGTGTATGGTTAAGTTAGGTTATAGTTGTGTATGGTTAAGTTAGGTTATAGTTGTGTATGGTTAAGTTAGGTTATAGTTTATATGGTTGTTAGGTTAGGTTATAGTTGTGTATGGTTAAGTTAGGGTATAAATGTGCATGGTTAGGTTACCTTAATTTAAGGTTAGTGTATGTTAAGTAGATTAGTTTAGGTTAGATTCGGGTACAGTTTAGTTAAAGGAGTGTGTTTATAGAGCACTGTACACAATTGATTCATTATACAAAGAAGCAGCGTGGCCGACACTATGCTTGTGCCCCTCTTGTACGAGGATGGCGTGTCCAAGGGCCAACCAAGGCCTGAATTTGTTTAAGGTGTAGAAGCTGTCACTAACACAACAACCACACCCTGAGTTAACGAGTTGCATGACCCAGTGTTTAAGGTGTAGAAGCTGTCGCAACACAACAACCACACCCTGAGTTAACGAGTTGCATGACCCTGAAGCTGAGTTGCATGACCCAGTGTTTAAGGTGTAGAAGCTGTCACCAACACAACAACCACACCCTGAGTTAACGAGCTGCATGACCCAGTGTTTAAGGTGTAGAAGCTGTCACCAACACAACAACCACACCCTGAGTTAACGAGCTGTATGACCCAGTGTTTAAGGTGTAGAAGCTGTCACTAACACAACAACCACACCCTGAGTTAACGAGCTGCATGACCCAGTGTTTAAGGTGTAGAAGCTGTCACCAACACAACAACCACACCCTGAGTTAACGAGCTGTATGACCCAGTGTTTAAGGTGTAGAAGCTGTCATTAACACAACAACCACACCCTGAGTTAACGAGTTGCATGACCCAGTGTTTAAGGTGTAGAAGCTGTCGCAACACAACAACCACACCCTGAGTTAACGAGTTGCATGACCCAGTGTTTAAGGTGTAGAAGCTGTCATCAACACAACAACCACACCCTGAGTTAACGAGTTGTATGACCCAGTGTTTAAGGTGTAGAAGCTGTCACCAACACAACAACCACACCCCGAGTTAA